TAAAATAAAAAAAGAAAGAAGCATCCCAGTAAACTCTCCCTATGTCTCACTAAAGAGACTGTAGCGGGAAGCTGAGGGTGTGATCATCCATCAGATTGGATCTGATATCCATGGAGAGCTCCACCACATCATACCATTGCGTCTCTGTGGTGTGCCTGGGTTGGACACGTTACCACCCGGGCAAGACCTCTGTTCCATGAAGTATAAGAAAGAGTGAAGCCAAGAGTCTTTCACCATTGCTGACCTACATTAGGGACACCACCCCAACATCGAGCTTCCTCCCTAGGAGACAGACAATGCCACAGACTGTGCTGCAGTCATTGCTCTAAGTGCCTGAATCACACTGATTCCATTAAGATTTGGGATAAGTCACATTTCAACACAAATCACCAGGGAATGCATCAAGCTCCTACTTACGACTTCACCTGAACAGCTTGGTGTTGTGATACAGTGCTGTCTAGCAAAAAAAGTGATTATTTTCAAATGACATTTCTTAGGGCTGGTTCATGCTAATGACCTCAGCCTAAAACCAACAGGCAGTTTACTCTGTAACATGTCACAAATGTCACCAAGGTTGGTTTCTTCATGAATGAAAGGGTCACTTGGGTCCACCTGTACCAATTACATAGTGCTTGTGCTGAATGGGGTGTGTTGAGTTGGGTTTGGCTTCTTTTCTCATTTTGAAATTCATATTTGTTACTTATCAAAGTATGTATAATTGAGGAGTTAGTTTGTTTTGCCTGATTTGCTGACATTAGAAGCAAAGGTGAGTTAACATTAGAAGCCATGTTCAAGTAACTGAATGTTGTCCCAAATCTGGCAGCAGCCCTAGGAGGTGCTCATAGGGGATTGAGGCCCAATGAAGATCTTTGCACCTGCTGGGCCTATGCCATGTCTGATGACCATAGCCTTGAAGAGGTTAAATTTAAAAATTTTATGATACTTTCAATAGAAACCAGAAGTCTGAAATTTTATGGGAAGTTGTATTGGTCAGCTTTCTGGTTGCTGGGACAATTACCTGGCAACCACAATTTAAAGTAGAAAAGGTTGCATGTAGCTCATGGCTCCAGAGGGTTCGGTCCATGGTTGTCTGGCTCCAAAGCAGAGACACGGTGGCAGAAGGGCATGATGGAGCAGAGCTGCTCACTCCTTGGTGGCCAGGATGCAGAGTGAAGGGGACAGGCTCCTGCAAGAGATGCACCCTCCTAAGAACCCAGTGACCCATCTCCGGCCAGTCCTGCCTCTTGACAGCACACTCTGGGTTAATCCTCTGAGGAATTCAGGCTCTCATGATCTCATCATCTCTGTAGGAGTCTCTTAGTGCAGTCAGGTCAACAGTTAAACTTAAGCATCACAGAAAGTTCCCAATTTTTCTAATAGTGACAGGTTTCAAAATTTTAGCCAGGCGTGGTGGCGCACGCCTGTAATCCCAGCACTCAGGAGGCTGAGGCAGGAGGATCACTGTGAGTTCGAGACCAGCCTGGGCTACAAAGTGAGCTCAAGGCCAGCCTGAACTGCACAGTGAGACCCTGTCTCAAAAAGACAAAAAAAGAAAAAAAAAAAAAGAAAAACAATTTTGAAACCCTGAGAGCCAAAGAAAATCAATGCTGTGGGCCTATTGCCCTACAACCATGATAGAAACCCCTCATGGACCAATGAGGTGAGTGGGGCACCAGGAGAAGTCTGGGTCTTCTCTGGGCAGACTCCCCTTCCCTGTGGATCTGCCTGGCTCCTGCCTTCACCCTGAAGAATCTGCTCTCCCAGCTCCGGGAAGGCTGTGCACGGGCAGCTCTCAGCCATCAGCTCTCCTTGTGTAGTGGATTGATAACTGATGGTCAACTTATAATCCCCAGCTGAACTGAGTGAGTGGTGCTGGGTGTGGGAGGCCCACCTGAGGACTGTTGCCAGCAGCATAAGAGGCAGACCTGGAGGAGAAGAAGAGGGCTGTTGGGAGCTGAGAGAGGCTGTGGGGAGCTGGCTTCCTGATGAACTTGGCTGTTTTCATCCTCTGAGGAGCTCAGGACCTCGCTGGCACTGAGAATGGCTTCAGTTCACTTTGGAGAGCTCTGGTCCTCACTTTGAGCATCGCTTCCTGATTCTGGAGGGGAAGATGGTGCATTGCTGGCCTCCTGGAAAAGCTTGCTGCGTTGGCTTCCTTGATGGGAACTCAGCCATCCTGATCATCGGAGGAGCTCGGGACCTCAGTGTTGTTGAGGATGGCTGTGGTACCTTCGGAGGAGCTCGGGACCTCACTGTTGCCGACGATGGCTGTGGTACCTTTTAGGGGAGCTCTGGTTCTTCCGAGCATCACTTTCTGGCTCCAGTGCAGATCCCTCAGCCTGCTAGCTCAGGTCCTTCATCCTGCTGGCACAGACTTTGTAGATTCCACCACTGACCTTTGGGCCTTCCCAGCAGATCCATGAAACAGGCCTGCATGAGATGTTGTCATGGGCTCTGGGCGTCCAGTTGGACTCGTGGGAGGCACTGTTATGAACTCTGGGTATTCAGCTCAACTCATGTAGGACATTGTTGTGGGATCCAGGCCCTCAGCTGGATTCCTTGGTTTTAGTGTGTGGACAGATTCCCTGCACTCTTTTGTATACTGTTCTTTGGGTGACTTATAAATAATCATATAAAGTATGTGTCCTGTATTATGTTGTTCCCCTTGCAAAATAAGCCCCAAACCAACATACCTTGGAAACAGGATCCCCTCAGGAAGCCCAGACTCATCCCTTACTCAGGGGCCCCCTGGGGCTGGGAGGCCGCTTCCTCTCAGGGGTGGCCAGCTTGGGAGCAGCCCATGGGGTGGCTGAGGCCTCGCGGAGGTGACTGTGGCCCGGTGTCTCTCCCTCTGCTCTCTGCCCTCCCTCTGGCCACATCTTTGAGTGTGAGTGACCCAGAGGCTGTGTGCTGGAAGCCTGGTGATTCTTGGTGGGACCGTTAAGGAGTGGCATCCAGGACAGCTTGGTCAGGGCATCGGCCTGCTGCCCTCAGAAAGGACTAAGAGAGATCTCGTGGGACCCTAGTTAGTTCTCACCGCAGTGGGTCGTCATCGGGGCAATGGGCTGTTATCAAGTGACCTTCCTCCCCGACACGCCTCTTCTGCACACGGCTCTTCCTCCTTCTGCTTCTCATTCATGTTGTGGTGAAGCCGGGAGGCCCTCACCAGAGGTGGAATGGGGAGACTGAGAGATCCTGCACTTACACCCTTCCAAACCGTGGGTTGAGTAAACCTCTTTTCTTTACACAATATGCAGCCTCAGGTATGTTGCTATAGCAGCAAAAAATGACTACTTATGTCACTTCCTCTCCCCTGCATGCAGATCTTCACCTCAGCCTCTGCCCCCCGGAACTTGATCTGTGAGACTCAGCTCTGCTATCCTTTCTGTACATTTCAGTGAGGGGGGCCAACCTAGTAGTCATATTTGATGGGGATGGTTTCCTAATCGCATTAGTATTTTAACCCGGAGATAAAAATTTGAAAAATGACATCAACAAACCTTCTCACACGTGGACAGGGAGTGTGATTTAGTGGTCGGTGCTTGTTTAGTGCATGGAAGATCCTGGATTTCATCCCCAGCACAGCAACGAACCAATCAGTTGTTCAGTCAATTCACCTATTAGCCCTGCTTTGTGTACACACTGATTACATGGAATTATTTTTTGGTGCTAGGAATTGAACTGAGGACCTTGCACTTGTGAGGCAGGTGTTTGTGTCACTAAGCTAAAAACCCCCTGGCTCAGAATTTTTTAAAAATAGAGATTATTTTGTCCTTGACCTTTGTTAGCTGGATGTTAAAAATTAATTATGGAGCTGGATATGGTGGTGCATGCCTGTAATCCCCGTATTCTGGAGGCTGAGGCAGTAGGATAACCGTGAGTTTGAGGCCATCCAGGGCTACAGAGTGAGATTCTGCCTAAAAGAAAAAAGCTACGATGCGTAAACTCTTATATAATGCACAAACTCTTTGTGTCTAATCCGGCGCTGTCCTGGAGTTGTGAATGAGAAAAAACTTCGGTTACACATCTTTTCTGTTTCTACCAGCTGGCCACGGAAATTTCGTAGGAGTGAGACATAAATACGGGAAAATCGTCTGAGTGTCTGTGCTGCGCTATGTTGTCAGTTACCAGTTTATAGGTTAGAAACTTGGGGTTTGACCCATCAAGGAAACAATTTGCACTACCAAGGACTGGGAAGTCGCTTTTTACAGACCACAGGTTTTGAGGGGATGAAAGCAACAACTGTTTCAGTGGGGAGAAAAAAAAGTTGCTACCAAACCGAAAGGAATGAAAACCACAGCTACTGAGGGAGGGCCCCTAGGGGTGGGAGCCGAGCTGCAGACTCAGTATCTGGGGAGATGTGTGGTGGACAGCAGAAAGGGCCCTTCCCTGAGCTCAGGGGGTCCCAACCTTGACGCTCCCAGGGCTCCTGCCCTTCCTGGGCCAGCCCCGCTCTCCCAGTAGGGAAGAAGCACACACATTTATTAATGTGCAAACCTGCACCACGGGAGCCACCATTGAGCAAAAAATGCCTCACTCTTTTCCTTGTCAGTACTAGGGATTGAACCCAGGGCATCTGCCACTGAGCTGCATCTCCAGGCCCTTTTAGTTTTTATTTTGAGACAGGGTCTCACTAAGTTGCTGAGTTGCCTAGACTGGGCTCAGACCTGTGACCTTCCTGCCTCAGCCTCGCAAAGTGCTGGGATTACCAGCACACACTGCCATGCCCAGCTATGACTTCGTTTTTTGGTACTGGTATTATATAACCATCATTTTTCTTTACTCATGGAATTTTAAAAGAAGTACTTAGAAATCCCAGGGATGGGATTTCCTCCCTTCTTTTCCCAAAGAGGAGAACAAACGCTTTTGAGGATCGAGTACATTTTTTCTCTGTGCTAGCTGACCAAAGGGTTCAATTCAACTCAACAACCAGCTACTCAGCTGAGAAGACAGTCACAGCACAATGGGAAGAAGTCATCTGCCCAGTTTCAAGAGTTTGGCTGGGGTGTTTATTTCTCACATGTGTGGATGACTTAGTAGGTGGGTACCAGCCACAGGCTGAACTCTGACCCTTCAAAATCTGTGAATTGAAACTGTAGTCCCTGGCACAGGGCTGTACTGAGAGACAGGAAAGGGTGACTGAGTGAAAGCAAGGGTTTTTCGGTGTGTCCCAATTCAACCTGACTGGTGTCCTCCTAAGAAGAGTAAGTGTGGCCCTCAGGAAAGGCAGTCGTCCGCCAGCCCAGGAGAGGGGCCTCCAGAGACTCCAAACCAGCTGGCACCTTGATCTTGGACTTCCAGCCCCCAAACCTGTGAGGAAATCGATGTTGTTGTTTAAGCCATCCAATAACTATGGTAGTTTGCTCTGCCAGCCCTTGCAAAGAAACTCAGCACTTAAAAAGTCCAAGTCAAACTTAAACCCTTGAGGAGATCTTAGCCACTTTCCTCAGCGCTGATACAAGTGAGGGAGAAATTCGTTTTGGCTCACATCTTCCGTTGCCTTGCCGGCCCTAAGGCGGGAAGAACATGGCAGAAGGGCCTGGCGGAAGAGAGCTGCTCAGTCACGGCAGACAGGAAGCAGAGAGACAAGGGAGAAGCCAGGGAGGGAGATGCACCTTTCCAGGTCAGCCCGCAGCCCTGCCTCCTGCACTGTGCCTGTCTGAAGCCTGGGGAAACTGGGCTTGCCTGTCTTTGCGTTGCCCTCTTCCTTGCGGCTGCAGTGTGTTACGTTGTACAGAGCGGGGGTTTTAAGTGTTTGCTAAGTCAGTGCATCTCTAATCATTGTGCATTCACTACCGCATTCATCAGCTTTTCACTGCTATAGCATGTACCGAGATAAGCCACTCACAAAGGCAAAGGTTTGTTTTGGCTCGTGTGTGGGTGGTCAGGGCCCTTGTTGTTGGGCCTGTGATGAGCTGGCACATCTTGGTGGGACCACGTGGGGCAAAACTGCTCACCTCGTGGCCAGGAAGCAACGAAAGGAGGAAAGGAAGAGACAGAGGTTCCATTATGCTTCTCTGGATGATGACCCAAAGACCTCTCACTGGGCCCCACACCTGAACGTTTCACTGCTTCCCAGTAGCATCTCCCTGGGGCCCGAGACTCCCATATGTGGTCCTTGAGGGGAGACCCAAACTGTCTACTTACCTCCTACAGAAGAGTTTTGAAGATGAGAATCTTGCATACATGAAAGAAGCCAGAAATCACCCCTGGAAAGAGGAAGACAGGGTCAGGACAGGAAATGAGGTGCACTTATTATATAAGGAAGTCAAATGCTGGCAAGACTGCTGAGAAGGGGAAACTCATATGCTCTCGTTAGGAATATAAATTAGCACAACTGCTGGGCATGGTGGTGCACACCTGTAATCCTAGCACTCAGGAGGCTGAGGCAGGAGGATCACTGAGTTGGAGACCAGCCTGGGCTACAAAATGAGCTCAAGGCCAGCCTGAACTGCATAGTGAAACCCTGTCTCAAAAAAGACAAAAAAAAAAAAAAAATTAGTACAACCATCATGGAAAAGAGTGATCTACCTTCCCCAAAAAACTAGAAATAGATCTACTCTACCTTATGAGCCAGCTATCCCATTCTGGGTATGTATGCTGATGGAGACCACTACGAAGCAGCCCTGAGCAGGACTTAAATTAACATGGGCTTTTCATATTTACTTGTGAGTCTGTCCAAGGCTCTTTGTCTGGAGATGGGTGGTGGACTCATAGTAAGTGAACCTCTCTGAGTCACTGATCCCTACTGAGGCCTGTAATGGTGGGTGAAACTGGGGCGTCTCAAAGGATAAGACAAGGTCACAGCCAAGGACACCTGGATCCAACCTCAACAAGATAAAGACTGCAGCCTCAGGCATCTCACTCCTGAGTGGATTAACTTAATACCTTCCTTGGAGAAGTCTTTAGTGGTTCCACCCTTCTTGAGTATTCCCCTCCATTCTTCTAATAACTAAATAAATATGGGCCACCCAGAGAAGGTCTTGGTCTTGTCCCTGAGAGAATCTCGAATTCTGTGAGAGGGCTTTGATCCTCCTGGAGCCCTGAAATCATTCCATTTGCCTCTTTTATTTAGCCTTCTCAGTACACTCCTTTAGGAGATTGCAGATCTGATCAGCCCACGATAACTAATGGATATTGCTAACCCAATAACATGCAAAAAAAATGAAATTAGCATGCAGAACAGCGCTAGCACCTGTGTTTTTGTGTGACAGTGTTCACAACAGCTGCGCTCTGGAATCAGCCTAGGTGAGTGAGTACAGGAGGCAAGGTGTCTTAGTCACATCTTTCCTCCTTGCTGGGACACAGTAGGTGACACCCATCACTTAAAGGAAGAGAGGCTTATTTTGACCCTTGGTTTCAGTCCATGGTTGTCTGGCTCTAAGGTGAAGCCCTGGGCAAAGGGAAAAGGTGCTCAGACCATGGCAGCCAGGAAGCAGAAAGCTATGGCAGTGGCTGGCAACAAGAAAACACCCTTGCAGGTCCCATCTCCGGTGCCCACCTCCAACCACTTCCCGCCTCTTAACAGCGCATTCAGTAGGGAGCTCATCCGTGGATGGATCTACTGATGAGCGTAGGTCCAGTCACATTCCACACACATGAGCCACTTATGGGACATCTCAGATATAAACCATAACATGTGTCATACAATGGAATATTATTTACCCGTAGTGAAAGGATGAAGTCATGTAGGAACCAAAAGAGTCGATTTTGCAGAAGAGTAGAATGGCAGCCTCACCCTAGATAAGAGTGGGCACTGTTGACTGGTGTCCAAAATTGGTCAGTGTGGCTACACTGAGACACAGGCGATGCCTCTGTCATAGTGAGTGTGTCCCTGTGGTGACAATGACACCTGCAACACTTTGCTCAAGAGTGAAATATAGACAGAGCAATGCTGACTTTCAGAGTTAGAAATGAATAATGAATGAGTAATATTCTAGCAACTAGATCATACTCCAACACCAAGCACTGTCTATACAATTCAAATTCTAAGATCCGGGGCTGGGGATTTAGCTCAGCGGCACAGCGCCTGCCTGGCAAGCACAAGGTTGTGAGTTTGATTCCCCGTACCAGAAAAAAAACAAAAAAACAAAAACAAAAACAAAAAAAAAACCCCAAAAATTCTAAGATCCTAAAGTACATTGCTGGAAGGTATTTTGGTTTAAAATCCCAGGAACTTTGAAGTTGTCATCAATGTGTCCCTAATTCAAGTACAGCTAAATGCCCAAAGAAAGGAATTACAGTCAGGCACATAAAACGACTGGATTAAGCTTCAGTTCTATAAAAAGGGTGTCATCGAGACCAAGAGCCTCAGTACAGTAACCTGGATAGGAATGGAAGGAATTAAATATAAAGTTCCTTAAATAACAATGCATTGACTTTAATTTTTTTTAAAAAAGGAGTAAAAAACTGGTCACCGGAAGCTGGGAAGGGTGAGGGAGAAGAGGGTTACCAGGTACAGAGGTGCAGTTTGAGAAGAAACGTAACTTCTGATGTTCTACAGCACAGCAAGGAGCCCGTGGCTGACAGTAACTAATGGGGCATACTTCAAATAGCTGGTAGGGTTTTTAATGTTCCCAATGCAAAGAAATAAGAGTTTGAGGTGATGGTTATACCAGTTATGTGGCTCTACTCTCTGGACATTGTATACATGTTTTAAAAATTACGTTGTACCCCGTAAGCAAGTACAATTATTGTGTCAGCTAAGGACTTAAAACATTTTACAAAAGTACAAAGTAATGAGGCAGGCCTTCTACCTGAGAGCCACTCCTGCACTGTGTCCAGCATCTTTAGTCCAACAAACTGGATTGAGCTGCTTCTTTCAGGAGCTGCCCTGGGCTGGAGAACTTGAAGCTGGAGTCAAGGAGCTCCCGGGTTCCCTCCAACACAATGCACCGAGAGTCGCAGGCTGCGCTGCCTGGGCCACCTCTGAGTGGGACAGCGGTGAGGGGATGGCTTCTGCTTGTGAGTTGGGCCGGACAAAAAATTGCAGATACAGTCTTGGGGAGTGAGTCGTCCTGGGGTACATGACCTAGTCTCTCTTTATCTTTTAAATGGACAGTGCAAGGTGCATTTTGGAAAGCTGATATGCTATTCTATGAAAAGCTGAGTTAAAAGTGTACAAAGTGATGTCTCATCCGTGCTCAGCAACCGGGGAGGAGCAAGAGGGTACCTCAGAGGAGGCGAAGGTCTGGCCTGGCCATAGGATGAACAGTGTCACCCTGGGCAGAGGGGAACTTGGATGGAAAGTGATGATCCAGGCAGAGGGCCGAAGAGAGAAAGACACTGCTTGGTGAGCCTGGGTTGTTCCTGGGGACAGGGAGGGTGTGCATTTCGGGAAGGCAAAGGGGTTGGATTGGCGGTGACCAGAGGTCATTATGTTCCTAGTGAAGGACTTTTCAGAGGCAGTGGGTGGAAGGGCCAGTTTGAAATCCCCTGGCCCTCTGCAGATGGGGTATAGCACAGGGCTGGAGCAGGCAGGTGGTGCCTAGGTACAGCTTGGGCATTTATTAGACAAAGGACAAAAACCAGGTTCAGTCAAAGCTGCCTCCTGTTTTTCCAGCCTGCGCATGCCTGCGTAGATAATGAGGCCAGGAACTTGCTTGGGAAAAAAAAAGGTGAGGTCAGGGACTTGTTTGTTCTTGTTTGGGGAATGTGGTAGAGTGGATAGGATGACACCGTGCACAGGACGAGTTCATGAGCGTTTGGGGCCTCTAGGGTGCCATCTAAAGGGTGCCCTGGGAGTCTTTTAAAGGTGATTCTAGCCCGAGGGGGTGGCATGTGCTGGTAACCCCAGCTCCTGTGGAGGCTGAGGAAGGGGGATCACGAATTCCAGACCAGCCTGGGCAACGTAGTGAGACTCTGTCTCAGAAGAAAAAAAAAGGCTGGTGATGTAGCTCAGTGGTAGAGTGCCCAGGGTTCAATTCCCAGTACCCCCCTACACCCCGAGAGACACACACACACGAAAAAGAAAGGAGGGGGAGTGATTCTGGCTTTCTGTAGATCATTCAGGGGCCAATGGTGTTTCTAACTCGAGCCGTGGTTTTTTTGTTTTTGTTTTTTTCTGAGTCAGGGTCTTACTATGTAGCTTAGACTAGCTTTGAACTCACTATGTAGCCCAAGCTTTGTGCGACCTTTCTGTCTCAGCCTCCTGAGTGCTGGGATTACAGGCCGGCACCACCATCCTGGGCAGGCTATGTATTCTTCTGACCTCTCCACTCATCAGCCCGATCAATCCGCATGCCATCCTTGTAAAGGACGTAAGTATGCACCTCATGTTACAGACAAGGCCAGTGAGGCACAGAGACGCTAGGTAACTTGCCCAGGGTCACACAGCCAGTAAGGAACAGAGGAAAGGTCTGGCTGAGGGCAGAATCTTTGCTTTTAATCACTAGGCTTTTTTTCCTTTACTGTTTGTCTAGAGAGCACTGTCCTGTAATGCCAGCACTCAGGCAGAGAGAGAGACAGAGAGAGAGAGAGAGAGAGAGAAAGTGTAACCTGCAACAACTCCACACAGACAGCGATTAAATGTTGCTGTCGCAGCATCCTAGGAAGGGCAGCTGCTTTCCTCGGCCCCACTGCACCAATGTCCCAGCGGCCTGCACTGAGCTGTGTGCATGGCAGCCCTCCAGCCCTCGGGGTCTGTAGAACAGAGCGCAGGCGCATGGCGTGGCGGGTGCGCGCATGCGCCTCACCCTGCCCAGAGCAGGAAGAGGTGGGCGAGGAGGCCGTTTCCACCCCTCAACTGTCCAGGTGGCCAGAGCCTCGGCCTGTGTGTGACAAGTGAAGAGGAGGCTGGGGCGACAGTCTCAGAAGCACACCACCAGTGCAAGCCCCACAGCTTGCTGCAAGAGGAGCTTTCGTTTTTGCCCTTATGCATGAATTAATCAGGCTGGAAGCCGGGAGTGGTGGCTCACACCTGTAATGCCAGCACTCAGGAGGCTGAGGCAGGAGGATGGCTGTGAGTTCGAGGCCAGCCTGGGCTACACGGTGAGCTCAATGTCAGCCTGAACTGCATAGTGAGACCCTGCTTCAACAGACAAACAAACAACCCAAAAAATCAGGCTGGAGTGAACAGAAGCTGAAAGATCCAACCCAACTTGGTTTTGTTTTGCAGACCCTAATGCATTCCCAGTAATTACTTTTGATTCCTAGCTCTCAAAAACGTGTGTGCAGTTTGTGTGTGTGTGTGTGTGTGTGTGTGTGTGTGTGTGTGTGTGTGTTTGGTTGTTTGTTTGTCCTCTTGCTTTGAAGTTTCTGAAATATTCTGCAGCATGGTCCCTGCCAATTCCGCAGAAGTGTTGCTGTCGCTCAGAGCCCGTTCGCAGCCAAGCGGAGATTCTCCACAAACTGCCAGTCCAGAAAAAACAAAATAAACTCCGGAGAAGTGAACTGCAGGGAGGAGGCGCTGCTGAGCCCAGCGAAAGGCAGCCTTCTCGGCTTGGCCGGGCTGCGGGGATGTATTTGCGTTGGGTGGGCAGGCGAGTTTGCGTAGTGGGGCTTTCCCGAGCTGTTTTCCACAACTGAGGGTTTATCGTGGCTCAGAGAATTTCTTGGCCTCTTAATTCCTTACTTTTCAAGGCCCCCTTTATCCCCTTCCGGTGTCCTCAGATAAGAAAGCTCCGATTAAAGGAATTCTTGCTGGGAATGAAGCTCAGTGGTGGAGCACTTGCCTGGCATGAGCGGGCTCCGTGTTCAATTCAGTCCCCAGTGCTGGGGAAGAAAAAAAGGTAATGCTTCCTTCTTGCCAGGCGTGGTGGTTCATGCCTGTAATCCCAGCACTCAGTAGGCTGATGCAGGAAGACTGCTGTGAGTTGGAAGGCAGTCTGGCCAGCCTGAACTACAAAGCCAGACCCTTTCTCAACAAACAAGCAAGCAAAAAAACCCCAAAGTTCTTTTACCAAGCATTTATTTCTTTAATTAAACTAATCACTTATCTTTGGTTCTGAGGATTGAACTCAAGGCCTTGTGCATGCTAAGCATGAGCCACAGAGCTACACTCCAGCCCATGAGCATTTATTATTTATTTATTTTTGTTTTTTTGAGACAGGGTCTCGCTATGCAGTTGAAGTGGATCTTGAACTCCCTGTATAGCCCAAGCTGGCCTTGAACTCATGGTAATCCTCCTGCCTCAGCCTCCTGAGTGCTGGGATTACAGGTGTGCGCTACCACACCTGGCTCAATGAGCATTTATTCTTAATTAGTTAAATTAATTAATTAATTAGAGACAAGGTCTCTTCTTGTAATTCAGCCTGGTCTTGTGCTGACTGTGTAGCTCAGGCTGACCTCGAACTTGCAGTAATCCTCCTGCCTCAGCCTCCTGAGTGCTGGGATTATAGTTGGGTGACACCACACCCAACTATTTTTAATATTGTTATTCCTCCCAGGTGGTTTTGCAGTTTCAGAGGGAATGATGTGCTTCTCACATCTGATATGCAGATGAGTCATCTGGGATCTGGTGAGATACAGGGTCAGACTCAGCGTATGTGCAGTGGGGCCTGAGAGCATGCGTTTCTGATGCCAGTGAGGCCGGTAGTGCTGGCCCATGAATCCCATGCAGAGGAACAAGGCGGAAGAGGACTCAGGAATCGTTCTGGGGAAAACGACCAGAATGTGCCAGCTTCCCCCAAGGAACAGACCAACAGAAAAGGCTTATTAAGGAAAACTGGCTCGTGTCATGGTTCCGAGACCTGAAGTTGGCAAGCTGGTAGCCTCACAAGGCCAACGGCATTGTCCTAGTCTGTGTCCAAAGGCCTGACAGCCAGGGGCGCTGATGGTGTAAATTCCAGTGTGTGTGTGCTGGCAGGCTTGAGACTCAAGAATTAATGTAGCAATTCAAGTCTGAAAGCAGGAAAAGAAAGAAGACCCTTTCCCGGCTCCGTGCCTGGTAGGCAGGAGGGTTCCTTCTTGCTTACAGGAGTGAGTACGTGTGTTCTATGCAGGCCTTCAGCTGATCACCTGAGGCCCACCCAAACTAGGGAGGGCCATTCGCTTCACTCAGTCCAATTCGAATATCAGTCCCACCCAGTGACCCCTAAACACATCCATAGTAATGTTCCACCAAATGTCTGGCTACCCCGGCCCCACCCTGGTCCCAACTTTAGGCATAAAGTGAATCATCACAGGACAAGAACACTTGTACCCTGCTGGACTTTTCATGGCCCTTGTGTTGACCTTGCTTTTCTTGTCATAGTTCCTTGGTGAGAATATCTAGATATGTCTCCTCATGGGCTAAATGTTCCTTGCTGCACTGGATCTCCAAATATTCAAGGACATTTCTCCACACCACGCCTGGCTTTGCATCATTTGTAGCATGCAAAGGACAAACAATATGTTGAATTTACATTGAGCGCCTTCATGGACATATATTGGGTGCTGTTCTCAATATATTGTATGAAAAATTAAATAATTGGGTGAAAAGTACAAACTGGGGGTCAAAGAAACTGGGGATAAGATAGATGCTTGGGCTGGAAGGGATGTGGGTTGGATGGACTATGTGATTTGTGGAGCCCAGGGAAAAATGAAAATAGGGAACGCTTGTTGAAAAGTTAAAAAATTCAAGATAGCCAGAGCAGAGCATTGAGCCAAGTGTGGGGACCTTTGAGCCTGCAGCCCTTTGGGGCCGCATAGTCACACAGCCAAGAGCCGGTCCTGGGTATGGGAGGAGAGAGGAGAGGACAGAGAGAGAGGAACCAATATGGCGGTAGGGAAGGAGGGCGACTGAGCTCAGGAGCTGGGTAGGATCAGAGGTTCTGTTGCAAATGCTGGGGCATTGACTTGTGTCTTTTTATTTTATTCCCTCCTTTTTCCTATCAGACAGTTTAAAGAAATGTTCTTTATTTTTGTCTTTTTGAGACAGGGTCTCGCTATGCAGTTCAGGCTGGCCTTGAGCTCACTTTGTAGCCCAGGCTGGTCTCGAATTCGCAACGATCCTCCTGCCTCAGCCTCCTGAGTGCTGGGATTGCACTACCACACCTGGCCAAAAAAAAAAAAAAAAAAGAAATTTTAAAAAGCATTGCACTTTCAACGAAGCAATATAGTTATCATCCAGCATCTGTGCCATTCCATAATATTTACAAATTAACCAGTTTGTGTCATTTCAAAGGGAGGTGCTTCTCGGGAACACCACGGCCAGGGTTCTCTGAGCCGTTTCTCAGAATACCCCGAGAAGCCTCCCAGTGCCGGGCCTCAGAAAAGAGCCGCACCCCGGGGAATGGTTTCCCGATCTTCAGATGGGCCTCCCACCTCCTCGGAGCCTGCTGTCCTGGGCACTGTCATGGCTTCGCCTTTCACTGGTGAGCTGGCCAGTTGGCTAGAGAAAACCTCAGAAGGGTAAAAAAAGGACCCAGAGGTACCAGCCAGGAAGGTTTAACTCACTAGAATTTTCTCAGTCTGCCTTTGAGCCTGGGTTCTGCCTAGTCATTCTTGGTGCAGATTAATGGGGCGCAAGGGTCTTGGCGTGAGATTAAGGATGAATCAGGGCAAAACGACGGAGTGTTGCTTTGGGAAGCCAAACTCTCACCTCGCTCCCAGTGGATTCCTACGAGAGCGATATTTATTGGACACATCCACTGCGCATGCTCTGAGAGAGGGACGCCTACGCCGTAAGGAGCTCAGAGGTAGTTGGGGACCTCTTGGCCTGCTTCCTGAGCCTGGGTGATGTATGAAGGACACAGATTTATTCAGCGCACCGTCCCAGAGGCTGGAAGTCTTAGGCGGGGTGACTACGCATGGCCAGGGCCTTGTGCTGTGTCACAGTGCGGTGGAAAAGCAGGAGGAAGATGCGCACGTGCAGGAAGACCCGCGGGCTGGCCGCTGCAGCGTCCGCAGTGACGAGGCCGGTCCCAAGGAGAGTGCTGGTCACTGACCCGGACCCTTGCTGGGTGGGTGTAGTGGCGCACACCTGTAGTCCCAGCTACTTGGAAGGCTGAGGCAGGAGGATCCTAATTTTTAAGACCAATCTGGGCATCTTAATGAGACCCTGTCTTAAAATAAAAAAAAGTGGTGTGGTGGTGTATGCCTGTAATATCAGCTACTCTGGAGGCTGACAGGAGGATCACAAATTAGCAAAATTCTCTATGCTCTCAAAATAAAATTTAAAAAGTGGGGAGGGGATTGAGGGTGTCACTAAGTGGTAGAGTACCCATGGGTTTGAGCTCCAGTATTACCCCCCACTAAATTAACCCAATTTCTTGAGATCTGCATCCATTTATGAAGGCAATGCTCTATGGCCTACCCTCCCTCCCCACTTCTATAAAATTTTTTGAGACAGGGTCTCACTATGTAGTCCAGGCTGTCCTTGAACTCACTGTGTAGCGCAGCGTGGCCTCAAACTCACTGCTATCCTCCCGCCTCAGCCTCCCAAGTGCTGGGATTACAGGCGTGCGCCGCCACACACAACCCCTCAAAACCGTTACACTGAGAACCAAATTGAGTTTCAAAGGGGAAAATCTATACGGAAAGCACAGCAGAGACAAAGGTACACAAACACTGCCTTGCGGGAGAGGTTCTTCACAGGCCGTCTCCTGTCCCTCCTTCAAAGAGGGCAGCACAAGTTAATGACAGAAGAAAATAACTGAGCGCCCGGCTTCTTGGAGGGCGGGCAGTAGGCTCAGCTGCATTCATCCTAGCAGCACTCGCCGAGCCCTTAGGCGTTGAACCAGACCCTGGGACACAGCGGTGGATCAGAGCCCACGGCCTGCTCTCAGGAGGCAGCCGCTAGCGTGGTAGCTCAGAGCAGGGGTGAGGCGCGGTGCCCAGGGCGGGCTCATCGTGGTGTCCCCATCCGGCAAGGCCGTGCGTTGTGACTTAGCTGTGACTCTGGTGAGGCCTCAGAAACACACTGACTTCCGGTTGAAGCTGGGGTCCTGCCCTGGAGGGGGAGCTTCTGCCCCTCTCCTGCCCGAACCTCTGAGTCTGCCTTGGATCCCTCTATTTTTCCCCTTCATCTCAGTTCCACGTTCTCTTTAGATGTCAACAGTGCCCTGGGGGGCGAGATGGCCGGGTACTCTGCCAGATGGCACTTGTCTGTATTTTTAATCGAAATGGCCTGTTCTCTTCACCACAGTGGGGAGCAGCAACACAGCCTCAGGTCGGAGGCAAGAGACAGCCCTGACGCATAAGTGCTTTTCAGGTCTGCGAGCACGGAAAACAGACGCAAACCCTGGATCGGCCTAACTCAGTCCGCCCCGCTGGCCACATCGCGCCTGTGGGGTCACAGCGGACGCAGTTGAAAGGGCAGGGTCCTGGCGTGTGGATGCAGGCGGGGTGCAGGGAAGACTAAAGGCGGGCCAGAGAGGACGTGATGTTTCTCTCCATCTCCTCCCGGCTTTCCGGGCTACACTGTTGCCACACAGTGAGGTTCCTCAACCGCGGATTGAAAGGTTAGTATCTTATTTTTAAAGATGATGCAACCGTGATGAGGGAAGTGGGTTAATTTAGTTAATAGCTGACACTTAGGAGTTCCTCCTCTGAGCTGTGCGTGACCTCTTTTTAATTCTCCTGGCATTCTTATGGGTTAGGTGTTATTACCCCTATTTTAGAAAGCAAGAACGAAGGCTCAAGAGAGATTAGTAACCTGCGCAAGGCTCTGTAGCTGGTAGGTTGTGAAGCTTGAATTGTAAAGATCATCTGCCTGGTGTGGGCACATCTTGGTGTCCCCATAGTGGGCTAAGCCATTTATTGCCTATAAACTGGTTTTCACATTTTTTTTTTTTTTTCTTTCTGCAGTATTGGGGATTGAACCTAGGGCCTATTGCACTGAGCTATGTCCTTAGCCCTTTTTAAATTTTTAGACAGGGTCTTGCTAAATTGCCCAGACTGGGCTCAAACTTAGGATCCTCCTGCCTCAGCCTCCCTGAGCACTGGGATTATAGGCATGTACCACCACACCCAGTTAAAAAGCTTTGTAAGAGTGTTCAGAAGCACATTTGGCAATGCTTAGACACAGACTCTGGAGCCAGGGTGTCATGCTTTTAAGCCCTGTGACTTTCAAGCTGTAATTCAGTATAAATTGCTTCAGACTCCCATGCCTCAGTTTCTCCAGCTATATAATTGAGAGGGTAAGAATGCCTACCTCACAGGCTTGGTATGAGGATAAGTGAGTTAATATTAGCACTGTGCTTAAAAGAGTACTTAGCACATGGTGGCAGTAAATAATGCTTGCTAGGCACATAAACATCTTGCACACAGACATGAGCAGTGGAGACTGCAGAGGCAGCGTAGGGGAAGTTTTCTACGAGTGACATGCAGTCAGCCCTCCACATCCTCAGATCCAGCCAGCCCGAGATGAAAAGTATTTAAAAAGAAAGACTGTGTTTGTACTGGACACGCACACACTTACCTCTTGTCATTATTTCCTAACCAGTGCAACTAAATGGCATTTATACTGCGTTGTTATGAGCATTCCATGGATAAGGTACAAACACTATGCCATTTGATAAAAGGGATTTAAACTGTGCCCAGCGGTGTATGCCTGTAATCCCAGCACTGAGGGAGGCTGAGGCAGGAGGATCACAAGTTAGAGTCCCACGGAGGCAATTTAGAGAGACCTTGTCTCAAAATAAAAAGGCCTGAGGATGTAGCTCAGTGAGAGATAGCCCCTGGGTTCCATTCTGAGTACAAAAAGGGTGAAGGGAGCTTCATCATCCAGAGATTTGGGTACCCTGGGGGTTCCGGAACCAGCACCCAGAAAAACCTGCAGTTGCCTCTGGGTTCCGGGCCCTACCTGAGGGCTACTGCCCTCTGGTCTGTCTGCTCCAGAGGTAACACTTGCCAAGTAAGCTGACCCCTCAGAGCTCCCACTGACTGACCTGGGAAGTCGAAAGCCTGTAAAACTGAACACAGCTGGGGCAACTGAATGAGACCCCCGTCTCAAAATAAAAAAATAAAAACTGCTGGCAATGTCGCTCACTGCGAAGGCCCTGGTTCAATCTCCAGTTCAAAAAACAGGGGCCAGGGATATAGCTCAGTGGCACAGCGCCTGCCTGGCAAGCGCGAGGTCGTGAGTTTGATTCCCGGTACCAAAAAACAAAATCAAAACCCTCCACTCATTTCCAAACGTGCTTATTTCATCTATATGCACACACTTGCATTTTTCCAAGATGGTGGCTCCCAATAGCCCAAGAAATTGCTCTTTTCCCTGATTGAAGATCTTCATGGAGAAGCTTGTGCAAAATACTGGCTTAAAGCTGGTTTCTGAAGGGTTGTCTTCTGAAAAAGTTTTTGGATTTGACCCAGAAAGGCCCCTGGGACACCTGTGATGGATCCCAGTGAACTTATCACATAAACAGCTAAGCATTATTTTTTTAACTGATGCTTTAGAGGCACTACAAATAGCTTTTTCCTTTGTTAGTACTTTGGATCGGGCCCAGTGTGCAGTACCCTTGAGCTGCATCCTCAGCCGTTTATATTTTTAGACAGAGTCTTGCCAAGTTGCCCAGGCTGGTCAGGAATTTGCAATCTTCCTGCCTCAGCTTTACCAGGGGCTGGGGGTTATAGGCGTGGGCCACAGCGCCCAGCAGCACTTGTAATCTTTAAAGCTCTTGTGTGCAATTCTAGCTCCTCTATAATCCATTAAAGATTTTAAAGCATTTTGAGCAAAATGTGCCAAGTCCTGATCCACAGCAGTGAAGATAACATTGTAGCTGGGAGGAGTGCTGTGCTCGGGGCAGGAACGTGGTGAACTTGCAGTTTCAGCGACCGCGGGAGGCACGGGGTGGCGGGACAGGAGGTTCCTCAGGGTCTGGGTGCAGGTGCTGCACTCAGGAGCCCTGCAAGGCCCTGCTGCCCCGGGGCCCGGTGCCCTGCCAGCCACGCTGGCCCGGCGAGGGGCTTGGTGGGCTGAATCTGTCGTGGGGAGAGCGAAGAGGCACAGAATAGAGAGCAAGGGATTTTCCCCTTCCCCTACTTCTGTTTAGAGGATCATTTTACCAAGTGGACAACAGGATTTGGGGGGCCAGGCCCGGGGCAGGAAGAGCATGGGACGCCTTTGATGGAACTGAGGTGAGAGGATGGGTGGACGGATGGATTTGGGAGGTGATGGCTTTTACTTCTCCATTTTAGGTTTACCTGCTAGGGCCTAGGCAATTCCTTTGATTTTTTTTTTTTAAACAAAATAACCCCGGGGAGCAGTCCTCCCCGTCCGACGCAGCGCGCTCCAGCCCCGCCTCTGCGGCGCCCGGGGTGTCCGGGGTTCTCCGCGCGAGGGCGAGCTCCGGCCCGGGAGGGACGCGGGCTCCCCGCAGGCTCGGAACCGGGTCCTCGCGCGCCCCTCTAACCTCCCCGGGCATCCACGCAGAGGGGCCGCGTTGGGACTCTTTTTTTTCTCTCTTAAAAACTTCCCGCGGCCCCTCCGAGCCGGCTGCGGGGCTCCAGCCGACCACGTGCGGCAGGTACGACGCCCCGGCTCCCGCCGCCTCGGCCCGCTCCCCGCCTCCGGCAGCAGGAGAAGCCTTCGCCTCCGACCAATCCCACCGACGCCGAACCGCGCGCGCGCGCCAACTCCGACTCCTGCGCCGCACGTCATTGGCCACCTCCGCCTCGGACAGTTGACAGGCAGCTTGGCGGACCTATGACAGGCGTAGGCGGAGGCCGCTCGGCCCGCCTCCGGCTGCTTTGTTAGGGGCTCCCTCGCCGTTCCCCGGCCCCTGCGCCTCCACTGCATGCCCGCCGTCTCTCGAGGCTGCGCCCCCGGAGCCTGAGGGCGTCCTGCGGAGCGCGCGGCGCCAGCCTCCTCCTAGCCGCGGACGCGGGCCGGGATGCAGCGCGGGAACCCGGAGTGCGGCTGTTGTGACTCTCCAGCCCAACTCCGAACGCCCCGCTCCCGTCTCCGCCGTCTCTGATTGGCTGGTCGGAGGCGGAGCGATTGTCAGGCGATCCAATCGGAGCTTGGTTTCCCACGGGCTCCCGCGGCTCCGCCCCCAAGGCCTCCGGTGGCGGCGCCGTGACAGCTCCCATTGGCTGCGGGGGAGCGGCTCGGAGCGCGGCCGGGCAGATCTGCGCCGCCGCCGTCGGGCGCGCAGCTCTGCAGCGCGGAGATCGCTTCGGAGCCCGCAGCCCCAGGGGCCCGGCGATCCCGCATTGTGCCCGGCGCGGGCCCGGGGATCCGGGACGAACGTCCCAGGTGAGTCCCGCGGGCCGGGCAGGGCCGGGCCGAGCTGCCCCGAGGGATGGGGATGGGATGCCCGGAGCCGTGCGCCCGTGCCGGGCACGTCCTGACCCCGTCTCCCGCACCCTGGGGCTCCCGGCGGGTCCTAGCTCCCCCTGGTCTGGCTCTCTGCGTATTGTTTTCGTGCGCACACACTTGGGAATGGGGGATCTGGGAGAGGAAGGCACGAGAAGGATCCCTCGCGAGGAGGAGTGCCCAGGAGGAGGCGAGTGCGCGGGGCCCTGGTGCCCGGCGCCCGATGACAGTGCCCAGGCGTCACCCGGAGGTCGGCGCTGACCTGCGGCGGAGGCATCGCTGTGCATCTGTCGGCGGATTTTTAAATCAACTTCAGGGAGGGCGCGCGCGCGCCGTGCGTGTGTCTGTGTGTGCATCTCGGGGCTGTCTCGGGCACTCACGGGCCTGGCTTTTCTGCAGAGCGGCGGGGCGCTCACCTTGGCCATCCGTGCGGCGCTCCGGGCCGGGCGCCCCGGCTGGAGAGCCTGGAGCGGGTACCCGGGGCTGGGGACGCGCGGAGGGCCCGGGAGCGGGCACTGGAAGCGAAATCCTAAGGTTGTGCAGACAATGAATGGAGGGATAGCGGGGCTCCTCGCGTCGGCTCCCGTCTCTGCCTCGCCCTCTCGCCAGCGCTGCTGGTCTGCTGCTGCTCCGCACCCGGCCGGGGACCCGCGTGGGGCTCGCTTTTGTTTACAGACCTCGCCATTGGGCGAGAGCCGCGCGCCGCACTCCCCCGGCCCGGCCTCTGTCTGCTGCCTCCGCCAAGTGGGGAGAAGTTGGTGTGCGCCGGCGGGTGACGCCCCCTTCCTCGGCCTGGGGCCAGATGCTTCGGGGAGAAGCAGCCAACTCCGCGCCCGTGCGCCCAGCCCCCGCCACGCCCCGAGCACTCGGGTCCCTGCGCCCCGGGCCCCCAGCGGGTGGCCGCCGTCGGGGAGCTGACCGGGCCACCTTCGTCCCCTTCCAGAGGCAGCCTCCGGTCTTCCGCCAGGTCAGCCTGACTTGCAGCCCGTTTCTTCCTGCGTGTTGGCAGATTTTGAAGGACGCGTGGGAGCCCTTGGGACGCTGCGAATCCGCGCTTGCTCCCGTGGTACCCACGCGGCCCCGCGCAGCAGAAGTGCGGCGCCCTGGAGCCCTAGCGGTCCGGATCGGGTTACGGGCCGGCTGACCGGCGCACCCTTGGAGAGGCTATGCCTGAGGTCAGACAGACTAGGTTCCAGAACCTGCTGGGTGTAGTTCGCGAGCTAGGCGATCCTGGTCGAGCCAGTCTCCCCGAGTCTCAGTTTGTGTGCCTGTAAAGTGGGGCTAATGAGTATCTTGGAGCGGGTGGAGGAGAACTAAAGGACAATATAAATTAATTGCACAGCACGGGATCGGTCACATATAAAACACTGGGTCATGTTCAGCCTGTGTTAGAATGGCCCCAGTGGCCCCCCTTTTCCGCATTCTCCACGCTTTCAGCTCCCCTTTGGAAAGACGCCGGGGACTGCAGTTCCTAGCTGCAAACAGGGCTTGTCTGACTTGGCCTTAGACGTAATTATACTTATCTAATCGCCTGCAGCTCCTTTTTATGTGTTTGAATTTCCATTAGGTTTGAGCTGTTTCTTCTTCCTTCTTCCTTCAGACTCTGTGAGGCTCAGATCTGGGCTTGGAGGCGGAGGAACCCGTCCAGGTGGGCAGCGGTCGCCGGTGAACCAATGGCAGCTCTGCGGAGTGATTACCCCGGGAGGAGGGCGGTTTGAAGGAAGAGCTGTCTGCAGGCGGGGAGGCGACACTTCCTAGGCCAAAGTTTAGCAGCACAAGTTTGCTAGATCTCTGGGTTCCAGAATGGGCTCTATTGTGCCTGGAAGTAGAGTTTGCAAGAGAGGGTGACTTTGAGCGGTAAACATCGAAGTTGCTAAGTAATTATCTTTGAACAGAGGGGAAGTAAACGTAAGGAGGAAGCCGTTGACGAAGCAGGAAGGTAGGAGAGAACTGATTTCATTGAGTATGTTCAAAATGCTGTCAGTGTGTTTTGACTTGGTTTTGCCCCAGTCTCGCCCTGTACTGCTGATTTCCATTAGGCAGAAGGAAAAGCCGGTATCATATTGAAAAACTCAAGAGCAAAACAGTAACAACCCGTCGTGAGATAGTTAAAAAACCACACACAATCTCAAGCTATTATTACAGAAACGCTTCCTGTTTTAACACCCTTTTGCCCGCTGGGACAAATTATTGAGCTGGGTCGAACAGCACACCCTTCTGCATATATGGACCTCGGAGGGCTCTGCCAGCCCAAACAAGCAACAAATAAACAAAAACCAGGCGCGGCTTGCAGTCTGTCCGGGGCTTGCAGAAATCTGCAGGTCGGTAGCACGATTGTTAGCAGTTAATGAATGTGATAAAAGTTTTACTCGCAGAAATGATTCCAATCTCTCCTGCACTTGTCTGGGGGAATTCTCTGGCCCTAGGGATGCTGAAGGTCTCTCTCCCCCCTGCTGCTGTCTGCGGATCCGATCCCCTGGGGATCTAAACTTAAAAGGGAGCAAGTGGTTAGGAAATCTCATTAGCTGACAATTTAACTACACTCTAATGCTCATCCAAAGAGCGGGGACAAAGACCTCCTCTCCTTTGCCTCTGAGTTCTCGCTTCCCCCTCCCGCTCCAAGCCAGAAAGGAAAAGCAGCTCTGGTCTTGTGTCCCGCTGCAGGATTCCTGCCGCTCTGGGTCGCTGGTCGAGGGACCCAGTCTTTCTAGGGCACCTGGCTGGTAAACCCTTCCTCTGAAGCATTGCTGACGGCCAATGAGTTGCGAGTAACTCATTCCGGCGAGTAACTCGTTCCCGGCTCTCCAGGTTCCTGCCAGGAGCCCCTGACTGCAGGAGAAGCATGTGTCGGGGGTGGGGCGGTGTCACCATTGTAAAAAGTGTGCAGCACACCGAGCAGTGTGGTGTGTGCCTTTAATCCTGGCTATTCAGGAGGTTGAGGCAGGAAGATCCCAAGTTCGAGGCCAGCCTGGGCAACTAAGTGAGCTTGTTCTTTAAAAAAAAAAAATTAAAGGGCTGGGGATGTGGCGCCATGGTGCATTGCTTGCCTTGTGTGCCAAGGTGCTCGGTTCAATTTACAACAACGGAAAAAAAGAGTTTCATGCGAGCCTGTATTTCCCAAATGGGGAAAGAGCAGAGTAGGCATCGCATGTACTCCTTGGCCGGAAGTGAGGCGCGGCCGCGGGCGCTGGAGGTCTGAGGAGCGCAAGGGAGGAGGGTGAGGAGCCCGGATGAGATGTGTCCTCTGGACAGCGGGCGGGAATGAGCGATCCTTTGGACTGTTTGAAAAACAGTTTTGCTGTTTGTGTGGTGCATGTATTGTCAAGGGACAAACCTTTTAGCATAGCCGTGTTAATTGGCCTTTCTTTTATTTATCTGTTTTTGCTGTTTTGAGACAGGGTCTCTCTATGAAGCCCAGGCTGGCCTTGAACTGGCCACCATCCTCCTGCCTCAGCTTCCCGAGTGCTGGGATGACAGACGTGCACCACTGTGGCACGCACCACCTGGCTAACATTTGGTTTTGTATAATTTCTGTGTCAAGGAGAAAAAGAAAATTGCCTCATCACCATTGCAGGCTAAGTCACTTACTTGAAAAAGTGAAAGAGAAATAAAGGAGGCACTCAGAAATAAAGCAGTCTTCAGCCAACAGCAGTGTTTCAACAGCTGAACAATGTCCTAGTGTAAAAAGGTGAGCGGTATTAGCCGGCAGACTTTCCGTCCTCAGGCACCTCCTCCACACCCTGCGGCACAAGACTTTCCTTGTTCTTGCGGCCTCCCGGGACCTCATTAAGAAATTCACGAGGACCCGGCGGTAGGTGTGGACAGGGGAGAGCCCTGCAGTGCTGGTGGAGCTGGGGGGGGCCGATCTTTGAGGTGCGCCCCTTTTCCTCTTGGAGGCAGAGCTCAGGGACCACGTGTGCTGCCCAGAAAGAGGGAATCTGGGTTCCTTTAAGGTGGCAAAGTGGGGACTTGGGGAGCACCCCGCGGGATCTGAGCTCTGAGAGCGGGTCCCGTCAGCTGTGGGCAGCCGGGGCAGGCCAGAGAGGGAGCGATGGTTCCTGGGCGCCGTGAGGAAGGCTCCTTCCGAGCAGCACAGCCTTGGCCTCAGAGCTTTGAGCTGGGCTCCTGCCCGGAAGCTGTCTGCAGGGACTGTTGGGTGGGGTCGCGGTGGGATGGGGCGGGCAGCATTGCAAAGCCTAGCGACACCAGAATGCGATATGAAAAGTACTTCATGCATTCTGGGCCAGATCATTTTATTTACTTATTTACAAGTACGGTTTTTATTTTATTATTTTTTTTTAATTTTTGAGAAAGCGTTTCCCTGGGCTGCCCAGGCTGAGCCGGGGTGTGTGTCATCCTGCTGTCTCATCCTCCCAGAGTGTTGGGATTACAGCAGGGTGCCTCTACTCTGGGTTCTGGGACCATGCTGAATTCATGAAGGGGAAAGAAAGAGAAAGGTGTTTTTGGTTTAAAAATAATAACCCCAAACCCAAAACCGTATTGTTTGTTCCAGTTTCTGCCCCCAGAGCATGTCTTTTCTTCCTTTCCTCCCATCTGCTGTTGGTGTGTGCTCGCTGTACTAACATTTGCATTCTTGGTGGAGTTGGTCCACATGCATAGCACATCCCAATTCCTTTTCTTCATCTTTTCCGTTTTCTCCGCCTCTTCCAGCTTTTGATCTTCCACCTTGAGAAAGCTCTACTTTCTATTATCTATCTCTTCTTCTGCTGTTTAACTTTATTCTGGGTTTCTCATATAAGAGAAACCACGCAGTGTTTGAGCTTGTGTGGTTTATTCCATGTAACATTATGGCCTCAAGGTGCATCCATGTCCTATGGATGACTCAAGCTTGTCCTTCTTTATGGCAGAGTAGTACTCCATTGTATATAGGTATTGTGCCACATTTTCTTTATCCATCTGTCTGTTGACGGACCTGTAGGTTGTCTCCAAGATTTGTTGGTGGAAGTGTAAACTAGTACAACCTCTGTGGAAATCAGTATGGAGACGCCTCAAAAAACTAAAACTAGAGCATCGTTTTATTAAGAATTGAAGGATTAGTGTAGCTGTGTCTCCTTATCCACAGTTTCTCGGTTCCATTTATCCTGAAAATATTAAAGGAGATAATAATATAAATATTTGTGGTCTGAAAATATTAAATGGAAAATTCCCCCCAAAGAAAAAGACAATTCCGTGGATACACAGTTCATGAAATGAAAATGAAAATAACTTCTGTTAAAGTTCACGTTATAACTGTCCCAGACTCTTCTTCATGCGGGCTGGGGCTGGAGCTCAGGCCTCAGCGTGCTGCAGAGTGCTCTACCGCCCAGCTGCCTCCCGCCCCATAGAATTAGGTACTGTTCCTCGCTTCCTGGGCCTAGGTCTGCTGCAGAGGAGAAAGCAGTCTGTACAGGTGTCCGAGCGGTACCGGCTGCGGGGTGCCGGCGTCTTGGAACACCGGCGGGAAGGGAGGCCCAGGGTGCCCGGTTATGGAGCCCGGGCCTGGGTTGGTCGCGGATGCAGGGGCGACGGGCGGCAAAGATCCATTTGCTCCGAGATCCGGTTGCTCGTCCTGAGAAAACCCAGATGCGAGGTCCCAGTGCAACCCTGATATCCTGGGGGGAGGGGGGACCTGCGTTTGGAAAGCACCTGTGGAGGCGCCGTCCACCTCCCTGCCCACCTCCCTGC